TGGGGTCGCCGTATGATCTTGTGCGCTCTGCAGACACACGGTTTGCTCAGATGGTGAGGTCTCTTGGTGAGTCCGCCATGCAGGAATTCATGGCGTCTACGCAAGCACCCACACGCTGAGAAGAGAAATATTTAGGGAAGGAGGGAGGCAACGGTGAGGCGTGTATGCTCATGCATGTAAATACAAGAAGTAGGATCGCTCCTCCCACATATACACACACACACATACAAAGGAAAAAAGAAAAAAGCAAATAAGTGAGAGATCCCGATAAAGCCAATAAAATAATAATAATAATAATAATAATGAAAAAAAAAGAAAAAAACAAAGAAAAGAAAGGAAGTGATTTTATTTGGATTAAAAGGCAATGAATCAACTTTTATATTTTCTGGAGGGTTTTTTTTTTTTTTTTTTTTCTGTTGGGTGTTTGGTGTTGTTTGTTATGCTCGCATGTATCTGTTTACGGTAAGGGATAATATTCTCATTTTTTATTATTATTGTGTCTGTGTGCAATCCATGACACGTCTTTAGTGTGCGGTGGCAGCGGCCATTATTATTTTACTTCTCCCCCGTCACATGTTATTTCTAGCAGTCTTTTTTTTTTTTTTTTCTTCCCATGTTTCTCTTCAATAACAGGGACGAATAAATATGGGTGGGGGGAATTTTTTTTATTTTTATTTTCTCCTTTTTTGTTTTTTTTTTTTGTTTTATTTATTTATTTCTTTTCTTTTTTTCCCCGTTTAGTGTTTTTTTTTTCTTTTTTTTTTTTTTATTCCTTTTAATTTTAAAAGTTTTTTTTGGGTCGTTCCGTGTGTTTCTCACCGCATGAATGCCTGGCGGGGGGGTTGTGGGGAAACAGAGAGAGACTGAGAGAGAAGGAGAGGGAGGGATGATGGTCGTGTGCGTCAGCCCCAAAATAAACCCACATGCGTACATGCAAGGAAGTAAATATGGAGGTATAAAAGCAACAACGGCATTCTTCTCACGCATTTCAACAGGCCGTAAACAACAACAAATAAATAAATAAATAAATAAAAATAAATATAACTGAACTGAAATATTCGACGTGCGTTTGTCTGCATAGTTGATTTTTGTTGTGTAATTTTCTTTAAGGTGTGTTTGTGGCGGCAATACTTTTCTCCCTTCTCCATTCCTTCCCCCACACCCCTTTTTTTTTTCTTTTTTCTTTTTCCCCTTTTCAATGCATGTGGTGTATCTCATTTTGACCCCTCCACACCATTTGCCTTCATTCACCTTTGGCTTTTTTCCTTTTCTTTCTTTTTTTAACAACACCTCCTTCCCCCTTTCTCCCCCTTGATACGCGCATGCCCATGCAGTGAAGGGAGGCAGCCACACAATTCACACGGCTCTGCCGCTCAACAGGAAAGGAACACAAACAGCGTGGAGGCATAAGGCTGCGTAGGGACGCTCTTCCTTCATTATCAGTGTTGTCGGTATATAAATATATTTTTCTTGTAGCATTTTCTGCTTGCGGTGCCGGGTATCTGTATTATTATCATTATTATTATTTTTTTTTTGAGGGGGGAAAAATATATATATATATATATAGCGAAGAAGAGGGAGAGGTGGAAATATCGACATCATCCGCGGGGGGATCCATACTGGGCGTGCATTCCATACGAGGCAGGAGGGGAGCGGGAAGAAAGTTTTACGAATGAGGAGGGGAAAGAGGTCGGGAACGCTCTATTCATCCCCACGGTCGGCGGCTGGGGATACGGCTTCTGTCAAAGCTTTTCCCACGTTTACTCCAGTCACTGCCTTTGCAAGAACGAGTTGCAAGGCAACATCATCATCGACGCTTGAGTTTCTGCATAGCGATCCTCGCCACGTTCGTGTTTGTGTGAACGACCTTGTGGCATTTGAGTATATAGACGAAAATCACCAATGGCAGTGGGGGCTTGCAACTGTTGCCGCCTCTCCTGCCCCTCGTCATGTGCAGCTGCTGTTATGGCGCCATGATGCCGCGTCTCTGCCCGATCCACAATCAGCAGGGAGTGGTCTTGTATCCACGGAGGAGAGGGAGAGGGTGATGGCTCGGCTCGAGCAACTGCCTCAACGGCGTGCACGCGTGAATGAGGAGATGGAGGCCATTCATAAGGCCATTGCGACAAAGCAGGCGGCGTATGTGGTCTCACGGCGGCGGATAGAGAATGCGGCGAGTGCCGCGGAGCGAGCGCTCGTAGAGGCATGTACCCGCATCCATGAGGTTGAGGCCAGAGATTGGCGCGAGACACGGTGCTACCGCAACCCACCAGAAATCGTTGTTCTCGTCATGGAGGCGGTGTTGACGGTTATCGGGGAAAAGTGTGTGTCATGGGCGCAGATTCAGAGTGTCATCCGCAGCCCGGAATTTGTGCGCACTGTGGAATTGTTTGATCCTGCCAAGATGAGTGCCGCAACAAAGGAGAAAATCCAGAGTAAGTACTTGTCAAACCCCCGGTTTACGTACGGGGACGCCATGAACGGCAGTCAGGCTCTGGGGTACCTGCAGCAGTGGGTGGTGGCACAGATGGATGCCGCAAACGCCACCGAAGAACTCGCGGAGTACGATATGCAGCACTTGAACGATCGATTTGCCATTGCCCGCATGGAAGAGCAGATCGATGCGTTCCGACAGACGCTGAGAGAATACGCCGACGAGGAGGAGAGACTACATGCCGTGCTGGAGGGCCGATCCATGCAGGTGAACAAGGAGGAGGATGGTGACAACGACGCCCAGAAAAGCTTCGGAGCGGAAGACAGGGGCACTCTTCGTGGCACAAACGTTGTCTGGACGCTCACGGAGGACACCATAGTGACATTGCGCTCCGCCATTCTTTGCAACTACGACAGGCCGGATAGCACGATTGTTCGTTTGACGGCCGGGCAGGTGCAAGAGCTGGAGGACGCGCTGAAGAAACGCGAGTCCGGCTGGAAGGATGAGCAGCGCGCAGATGCCGCACGCCGCGCGTTGCAGAACGCTTTGGAGGAACTTCGGGGGGAGCATGGCCGCAAGCTCAAACGACTCCAGGAGCTGGAGAGCAGCAGCCATGCGACGCAGCAGGAGCTCGGGGAGCGTCGGCGGGAGCTGGAGAAGCTCAACCAGGTAATCACCGAGGGCGGACTGTCGTTGCACACGCCGTGGCCATCGTCCACAAGCACCCCGTCGCACGCGACGCCGCGGAGACTTCGGCCCAATGCGTTGCAACTTCCCGTTTTCGGTCCCGCTGCCGATTCTGCCGTTCTCTCTCGTGACGGTGTGGAGGAGGAATTTGCAGAGAAGATTGCGGACCTTGAAAATCGTCTCAAGCGGGCGTTACACGAGAACCCAACGGCGGCGCAGGTGCAGCTGCTGGAGGATGACCTCTGGGCGGTGCAGGAGGAGTTACGCCACACGAAGGAGGAGCTGGACAACTTTCGCACCGCGAACGCGCCAAATTACTACACGTCCTCGGCGCTGCGGATGGAAAAGGAGAGCACGCCGGAGGCACAGCTGGCCGCAGCGCAGCGTCAAATTGAGGAACTGGAGGCGGCACTGGAGGAAGCGCTTGAACATGGCAGGCAACCACAGGGGCAACCCCTAAAAGCACAAGAGAAAAGTAACGGGAGGGACGGGGATGGCGAGATGCAGGGACGCATTCAACGTCTAAACGAGGAACTGCAGCGGCAACGCCGGGACACGGAGGGCATCGCCGAGCGGCTGAACGAGGAGTTGCATGCGCACAAGGAGACACGACAGAAGTTGGCGGATAAGGAGTGTGAACTGAAGGTGCTGTGGGATCGTCAATGCGAGGCGGACCGCGAGAAGGAGTCCACACGGGCCGCACTGCAAGAAACTGAACGCGAATTGGAGAAACTTCGCGGTCACTTGCGTGAACAGAAGGAGGAGCTCCATGCGGCGCGCCCGAAGGAATATCGCTGGGAATCGGAGGCCAAAGCGCCACGAGGACGTCGCTCGTTGCAGCTGCATGAAATTTTGGGGCGGCTGATGGACGAGGCGGGGCGACAGTCGCTTGAGGCGAAATCGACGGAGATGGTTCTCGATGAGGTTCGTGTGCTGCTCGGGAAGGGATTGACGGCTTATTAGCCACAAAACATCATTTCCACCCTTTCTTTCCGTATTGTGTTTTTTGTTGTTTTTTCTTGTGTGTTGTG